GTCCAAAGTGCAAAATTTGGTCCCTTTTTGAGGATCTCTGTGGTTTTCAGGTTAAAGGGGACGGAAGACAGATTCACTACTTTATCCTCATTTCTCGTCTGAACTTTGAGGCCCGTCAGCCTAGAGGCATCTTCATTTTTTCCAGATGGTTGGACCTTGGGCTGTCTTTATATTCTATATTTATTCAGCTTATTCTGGTGCCTTTTTTTGATTAAGTCTGATATCCTTTTCGACATTTTGCCTGACATCCTCTGTAGTGTCCGGAAATCTCCAGGGTGATAATCTGACTCAAAATCATGCCTAACTATATAGTTAATAACTAAAAACTTAAACCTATCATATGTCTCCTCTAATTTATGCCAATAAGCTCGGAGGCCAAAACGTTTACAATAGTTAACAAAGGCCAAATGACACGATTTACTTATGATGAAGGCCAGAGTTAATAGAGTACATCTCATACATTGACCAATAAAAGCGAATACAAGTGTCAAGTGCCTGGAATAGATATTGCTTACGTAAAAGTAGCATGGGATGCAGCTGAAGTAGTCGGTTGAACCTCCTCTTCCCTTTGTCGAGTGGACGTAGAGGCGTGAGTTTCAAATAAAGGATGGCGATGCTGCCATTGTGATTCAGCCTCAAATGCTCCTGTAGCAGCTACAGCGGCGTCTGACATCATCTGATTACTTAAAACACTCGTAGGATAACGTAAAGAGACATTGCAAAACTCAACATGACCGCTGCTCGGCCATTTTAACCCAGGGCTCCAGGTAATCCTGGACGCAAATGTAGGCTTGGGAGGAATTGGCCGAAAAGTGGAGCAAGTTGGTCGAAATTCATTAGAGTTAGAGGACTGAGTGGGGGAGCGTGGGGAAGGCGAACCGATTGGGGAATTTGGTAGAGAATGAGAAGATGAACTCGAGGCGGAGTGTGAAATTCCGAGATGGCTTGAGATGGGGCAACAGCAAGAGGCTGCACGTGGATCAACCGATTCATGTATGCCTGCGTTAGAGTTGGTACAAGATTCAGAAGATTCGCCATCGCGTGGTAATGGATATGGCGCTGGGGGAGCAGACCAGTGAGGCAAACGCAAATACTGGTTGAACAGAAATGGGGCCTTAAAAACGAAATAAAAAATGGAAGGTAAGGGGAGAAAATTGATATTTTATTATTTGCTTGTTAGTTAATGAAGTTAATATCATAGTGACTTTAATCCAAAATTAACAAATAAATAAAATAGCAAGCATATCTCCAAAAGAAACAGACCATTTAACGGTACATGCAAGGCAATTCTAAAGCAATTAAAGAGTGATCTCGAAAATTCCATGTCTTTTCGGGTATCAAATGTACTTAAGAAGAAAAATAGAAAGTTGTTGCAAAATACAAATCAGTAGAATGAGATCAATTTCACAATAAATAAATTATAGGGAGTGAAGCTTAAATATAAGCCATACGTAGATAAAAACGACTGCATAAAAATATCGGAAAGAAGCTAATAAAAAATAAAATTGTCCTGAGAGAATACAAAAAATACTGGGATCAACTAACATTCCAATAACTTAAGTAGTTGTATCGGTTGAAGTAGTCAACTATATTAGCACAATATAGTATAAAAACAAATGACGGGGTGCTGTAAATAAGATACCCAAAGAGCATAATGCGAGCTTCTTAGCTCACCCTCACCACCAGTTTCAGATGCCGTTTGCAGGGCTTCTGGAACATGGTTTCATTTAAAATTAGTATCAATATATAATATATTTCATTTAATATAATTATGATCGTTTTTGCATGCAAAGTCTACTTTTAGACAGCATATTGTATGTAAAAGGACAGAAAAGTAAACGATCGTTATAAAGACAATGTGACGAAAGCTGCATTGCACACAATGACCATCCAACAAATTGCTATGATAGCAAACTCGAAGCCACGTATCGGTGAGAACAAGTTCTAAAAACAGGAAAAATAGCAGGAAAAAAATTATTCAAGAAAATCGAGGCATAATTCTGCCAGACAGTGGTTGGCTTTAAAATGCGTTACCATAGGTTTCGCGTATACTAAAGGAGTAACGGTGGAGTAAATTAGATAATAGGGATAAAGCATAACCATGTTGTTTTGGGAGCTATTATAAAAATGAAAAGAGAATTTCATGCAGGCCAAAAGCATCGAATAATATTTACGCCATCTCATGTAAGAGACAAATTGATAGCAGACTCAAAAAGACTATTTTTATTGAGTATACCACTACAACTACTTTTAAACGACAATTTGCATTGATATTATCGCTCTAACTTCGTGAACTAATATCACCAGTATTGGGATGACTAAAATATAATAAAAAATAGAAGCAATTTCACTATGTACTACTAATAACAAAATCGGAATGCAACAATAATACAAAAATGA